GTCGTTAGCTTAAAATGCTTTCAGTATATGTACCTACACTCAGAACAGCAATAAGCATTACATGCAGTTGAGAGAATGTGCCATTCCATTAGATATAAAATGTAATGTATTGTTTTATTATACCGCACGGAAAGGATTAGTTACTCGTCGTTAAATCAAACAGGGATTTATTTTTGCAATTTATGAAGCATTACGTATGTATAAATTATGATTGGTCGTTTGGTGGGTACGCGGGTTCTCCGGGATTGCGAGAGGCTGATGTATTCGTAGTAAAATAACACGGGACGTGGAAGTGTAAGATAATTTATTATAGAGCTAACTCAGCCGCGCGGGCTCGAGGCACGCAGCGCACGTTGCCTTAGGTTAGGTGCATCATTTATATTTTTCTGTTGTTTGTTTTTTGTTGGCCTTTCTGTAGATGCCGGTTGCGATCTAAACAAAGAATGATAAATAAAAGACTAATGGTACACGTCGGTTTTCGTCGAAACATCAATGTTTAATCAACTCATTTGCATGCACCGAGTGGATATTAGAATTTATCGCCTTTAGTAATTGAGGTTCGATGTGTTGATGGAAATATTTTTCTATTATGATTTGGTCATATAACGATAAATGAATAAAAGTATTTTTATTAGCTTTTTCCGTTAGCATCGTCTTGGACAGCACATATTTTTTTGTTAATGTAAGAAGTTGTTCAAAATTATTTATGACCCAGTATGATAGCTTTTTATCTGTTTTGACTGGTTTTAATGTGCATTTTTAGGACTGAGAATTGAAAAAAGTAAAAACAATCATTTACACATAAGAAGTTAATGTTATTTATATATACGTTATATGTTATGTATATATATATATATATAATAGTTTAGATTTACGTTGAGCGTCCGAAGTAATTTTTGCTACTGTTTTAGTTCAGAGCCATGCCCGAGGGCTATATAATCTCATGTACCTCGGAGGCTATCCCTTTGTCGGTTTCCAATCATACAGTACAAGAACACTAGCCCCTTAATTGGATGGAATCTCGCTTGAGGCACGATTCGGCTTTAAGGGGATAAAAGCATACGAGTGCAATTTTACATTGCTTTGTAATCTACTAAAACAATCAGATTGGAAGCTTTCGGGATTATACCCAGACATGTAATAAAGCTAAGAGTTTTATTTAAAGCGTCATTTATGGATTGTATGCAATATTTTGATTTTATTTGTTTCTATTTAACAAAAGTATTTGCAAACAATTTGTTGCGGTTACATTACAAAATAGTTGGTTCACTGCAGCATATTGATATATTAAATTATGATCGATTATATATCGGTATCTATCGACTAATTAATAATAGTTATAGTTTGAAGATCCTGCCTTAGCGATCATTCCACTCAAAAGATGGACAAACGGGTAACCTCTTCAAGATGCTGCAATCACTTTGCCCTAATTTTACTTCGACCGACCATATTTCCGTCTTAAAAGAATTATATTCCCCAGGCAACTTGGCGACAAGCTTCGCGCCAACCATAAAAACAACAGCCTTGAACACTTTGCAATATTACGCACTTGGACGAACCCTTTTTGGGAGAAGTGCAGAAAGATGAAGATGACGAGTAAAGTGGTACAGATATTACTACGTTAAAATTTTGTGTTGTTGTATACTAATGCTAATGGATTGTAAAACTATAATGTTTTGAATATTTTAATAGGCGGCATTCCGAGCGAGTTCATAAAAATACTGTATTAACGAGTGTTCTGTACGTCCCGCTGGGTTTTAAAAACAAAGATGTATCTTCAAACTTACACATGGATATTTCAATATTAAATACACAGCATTTGAGTCTGTTGAAACTGTCATTTGAGCTTTGGTTCGTTAGTTGTCCGAGTCTGATAAATGGTTTGAAAATGTAGATTGCTGTTATTTCATTATTATAAATATTAAAAAGCGCATTTTGATGAATTACTAGCTAGTTGCCTAGTTGCTAGTTGTCAGTATTTATTAAAAAAACTTATTATTTTACTTTAATTGTATACCAGACAAACAGAGTTACTTTCGCAAGTAATAATAAGATTACAAAACGACTAATAATATTACTAAACCTTAACAGAATAGAATTCTTTCTTAAACTCTCAATATCTATAGTCATACTACATTATCGCCTTATCTTTGATAAAGCCAATCATCAAAACAAAATTACTGACGTAATTTTATACACATCTTAAAAGTACATGCTGAAGATGTGAAATTGAAAGATTGTAAGTGTATAATATTTTCTCTCAAAATGTTATTGTTAATTACATATTTCATAGTAACTTTTGCCCCAGTGTATGTCAGTAAGCGGAATACACGGTTGCCAAGAGGACTCGCAGCGATAAAGCGGGCCAAGGACGAGGTCCGCCCCTGGCCCGCTGGAGACACTGGAGTGGGATCCATGGGGACGCCCCTATCGTATGGTTAGGAAAAGATGCACCCATGGGCCCCGCCGCTCACTCGGTGTCTCTGGAGGCTCTGGCTGAGGAAGCAGTTTCCCGGGGCGAAGTGGTGTTGGCAGTGTCTTTGGACCGGGCTCGGTAGACGTGAAATGTCGAGCGGTGTTCCGCAGTGTTGGTGTTAGGGCCACTCTTTTGGAACATCGGCTACGACTGGGTGCTTCGTGGTGCCTTCTTGGATGGTGTCGCCGTCACGTGCTACGTGGACGACACGCTCGTGACAAGACACACCGTGGGATAACCCTGAGGGCCACGGCCGGGGTTGCCCAAGTCGTTGAGCGAATCCGGCGGCTGGGTCTCGAGGTGGCTCTGCACAAATCCGAGGCCTTGTTCTTCCATGAGCTTCGGAGGAAGCCACCTGAGGGATCTAGCTTCATAGTTGGAGGCACTCGCATCGGCATCGAGCCTTCGATTAGGTGTCTGGGATTCGGACACGATGGCCGATGGGACTTCGGACATCATTTCCGAGGTCCGGTCCCCATGTCAGCTGGGGCAGCGCGTGCATATGCGCGGCTGCTGCCCAACATGAAGGAACCCGATGACTCCTGCAGGAGACTGTACTCGGGGGTTACCTCGGGGGTACCCTCTATGGGGCCCTAGTATGAGCGGGGGCCATGAAGGCCAGCAACGTCGCACTACTGCGACGACCGCAGCGAGTGCTGGCCATCAGGATCATAAGGGAGCACCGCACGATCTCCTGTGAGGCGGCGAGTCTCTTGGCCGGCACTCCACCGTGGGACTTGGAGGCGAGAGCCCTTGTGGCTCTGTATCAGTGGCGCAAGGAGGCGCGGGAATTGGGTCGGAGTCCTGAGACTCGAGAAATCGATAACCGGAAATCCCAACTCCGACGGGTCCTCGTAGGGGAGTGGAAGGAACGATTTGCTCAACCGAGCGCCGAGGACACCGTCATCACGTCAGTAAGACCCATTATGGAGGACTGGCTCCAGAGGCATCACGGGACCTTCTCATACCGACTGACGCAGGCGATCATTGGGAAAGGATGTTTCGGGGATCACCTGTGTCTGATCCGCAAGGAGCCAACGCCTGAGTGCCACCACTGCGATGGTTGGACCGTGGACACGGCGCTCCACACGCTGGCAGAATACCCGGCGTGGGTGGAGCAGAGGCGAGACCTCGTGGCGGCCATCGGAGTGGGAGTTCTCTCGGTGGATAACCTGATTGCGGCTATCGTGCTGAGCGAGAGTGCATGGAACTCTGCCGTCTCCTACTGCGAGCAAGTTATGCTTGTGAAGAAGATGGCGGGAGTGTTCTAAACCTCTCCCGGCCCGCCAGGCTCGGGTTGCAAAACGACCTCCGTCCTTGGGGTGACAGGTGAGGCCATCGGTAAGTGGTATCCGAGGGGATTTCCGCACAGAAAAAAAAGCAAAAAAAAAAAGGTGGATGTCGGTAATCGCGGTGAAAAATAGCTAATAGCACCTCAAGAATAAAACTAAACCATACCAAATTTCATCTAAATCGGTTCAGCGGTTATTGACTTCTCATACAAACTTCCTTTTCACCCCCTCAAAGGATGATTTCTACGATAAAATTATCCTATGTCCTTTTCCGACTCGAAGTATCTCTATATCAAATTTCATCTCAATCAGTTTAGCGTGAAGATGCAGGTTTAAGCAGACAGACACACTTTCGCATTTATAATATCATAGTATATAGTATTGATATCAGTATGAATTTATCTATATCCATATCCTAAAACTTAAATCTAAAAGCTCTGTTTTTAAAAGACTATTTTTGTAAAAGAATGGTCTCGTGTTGAAAATTACAGTCTTTAAGGATCTAGATTGTTAGGAAAAGATCTGTGCAGATAATGCAAAGGTGGTTGTTTTTAATGTTCCACTACTAAAGTAATAAAAAGATAGACAGGTTGGGAAAAGCTATGCGTCTTCATACAATAAAAGGAAACAACTTTTAACTGAGAGCAATCTCATCTTGATTCCTAGGTTAAACATAAAGTTAGGGAAAACATCAACTAGAATTGTAAATGACAGTAAAAATACGACAGAATATTTTTATTTGTGCAACAGCATACGTTATGGTATACATATATTATGTATATTATATATATTATCTGCAGAGTTGTAAAATCAACCACAAATGGACCGTGTTGTTCAAAAATTATTACATTCACAAACGGACAAAACTTGGAGCATTGATACTAAACTTTCAAAAATGATCTTTGTTTAAAATGTTTCTAGAGAGACAACTTTTTATTATAATGATTATTATTTAAAACATAACTGCCTAAACGAGTTGTGTCTCAGTACAAATACAGATAATTTTCAATCGTAAATAGACATTCTTAATTTGACTAATTAGTGAATTGAATGGTCTTTCCACAGCAAGGTTTAAATAGTCAATACATCACACATGTATAGAGATAAGAAGTATTTGATGTTACCTATTTATTTATAATTTTTGCAACGTCATTTTTATTTTGTCACACTAACATTTGAGAAATAAGCTATGTTAGCTATTTGTTGTCATAAATTTAAGTTTAAACACTTACCTATAAAATACGCGAGCATCGCCGCTAAGATGACACAGAGGCATATCATAGCGATGGCGAGACATTTCCACGTGCAACGATGTTGACATCGTTTGTCTATGTGAAACCTCGAGGGGGAGTATACAGGGACGGGGCTAGGCTGACTGGCTCGCGGGGGGAATACCGGCATCACCAGTGGTTGGTTGGCTAGTTGGCAATGACCACTACCCAGCGTGCCACCAACCATCCCGCTTGACATCGGCGCACCACCCAATCTGTAACAATATGGAATAAGGTTACTAAAATTCTATCTAAATATAAATACATTTATAAATTAAAATATTTTTGTTATTTTTTTATTAAATAAGTAGATTTCAGCAACATTTGAACCAAAACGATGGATTAGTTATATATTGCACAGAATTCTAAAACAGCATACTGAACTTCCATCAAATAAGAGAAAGAAGAACATAGTGTGAAGCAGGCCTCAAGCTAGTCAAACATTTGTTCATAGATTTTATTTATTTTTAGGACCTTTTTATACAATAAAAATAATAGAATACTAAATATATACAGCCTCAATAATAAAAAATGTGTGATCATGTTATCAGAATATTTAGGTAAATTTAACTATGCAGACACAGAAAATGTATTGGCAATTGTTAAATGAGTCTTATGTAGTTTTTGTATAATATTATTTTTTATATTTTCTAGTGATCTGTTATGTTTATCTTACATTTCTACCTTAAAAATTCCATGTCAAGCGATAGCCTGAAAAACACAGGTTTACCCTAGTTCAGGCAGGCAGCGACTAAAGTTTTTAACAAAATCACAATATCTTTATGTGTAGAAAATCATAAATAACACTACTATAGATTTACGTTAGTGTAACTTAGTCTAATTATTGTCTAAGATCTATGTTAAACTGAAATGTCCTACACTGTAATATTTATATTGGTCAAATAAAAAAATATTATTATTATTATTATTTCATCAATTACTTCAATCATTACTGTTTGCACGGATACAGGAAATCTTCACAAAAGTCCTCATAGTGCAAAGGGACCGAGAAGGCATCGACACAATAGCGTCACATCTTATACAGCACTTCTAAGCCACATACTCTTTTCAGATGTAACATTACATATAAATAGTGTACTCGTAGTCCTCTCTAAGTAACAAACGTTGATCTCACATGACTTTTTCATCAAGTTTGCAAGCAGATTATAAAGCTGCAAAATAACATACTGTTAATTTTGAGTCCAAATTATTCTTCAATAAACTCTGCCGATGTTGATTTTTTTTTAATTTGGAAAGGAGAGACATAAAAGAAAGATATTTTCCACATAGAAATTCATGTATTCAAACTCTATAAGCTCAGTCAAGAAGGTAGGCGTAATATTATCGGCATGTTTTGATTGAGTTTTGGTATGACATTTCGAAAACGAAAAACATAAATTTAAGGCGGATATTCGAGGAGAAAAACAATGTGTCAAAGTTAAATAAGTAGGTGACCTAGTTGTAGAGTGAAAATTAAGATAAGTTCATCCAGTACTTTTATAAGACGCCAGGTTTTAACCTTAAAAACCAGTGTAACATGAGTAGGTTCCTGTATTTAATCGCAGGTAGACGTGAACTTGTCGTATCGACACAGGTGTCGTAACATGTTAGACCAACTGTTGGCAAAGCGAATCTGTGCTCAGCACCATATGGCGCTTCTTATATTAAATTCCATGGAAGACAATCAAAACGTATCATTACTGGGGATTCCGACAAAAAACGATGACCGAACCGTTTAAACACGTCCGCCCCGTGAGCCATTAATCAATTATCCGTACTTCAGTGTCACGACTAAATTTAAAGGCCGGGGCTGAGAACATATGGTGCGACAGACCGAGTCGCTCACCAACTGACGCCACTATAATGACCTCTCGTATAAAGGAATAAGCAAAAAGAGAATAGAAATAATTGGACCAAGTTTAGCGAGAACGAAGCGTGACTCCTAAAGGGTTTTGTTTCGAAGAGGCTCTTGACTGTAATTTTCTTTTGAATAGCGGCCGAGGAGCCCGAGGAACGTTTGGAGGAAGGACGAATTCATTAAAACGTGTACTGAAAGCACAATGCTCCGGCAGGCAGATCTTGCCCTTAAATGGCTTTTAAATGTCCAACATCTTTGCAAATTGTGTGGGTTTTTCCAACATTGTATGTTTATAAAGCATTTTTTTTATTTACCTGTCATTGTTGAGAAATATATTATATGTATATTTAACTGTAAATGTATATATGTATATACATATGTGTATGGTTACGTTCTCTAATAGGGTCTGTAATCATATATATTATTTACAAATATAATATATATATATAATTAAGTTATACAGCTTGCATAGCACGATCATTGCAGGCGGCTTATCGTAATTAATTTAACAACAGTATATTTTATTATTTTCTCTATATATTTTATAATGCAACTTAATGAAATGTAAAGGTTTTTTTAAATGGTGTAAAAAATACTTCCTTGCTAATTCAATGGCTAAATTTCGGTTTACTAAACTAAAAATGTTAATAAAGAAAAAACTTGCTATAAACGTTATTACTTTATCAACACTATAATTAAAACCACTTTAAGACCTCAAGTCATGATGGGGAATGGCCACTATCGATGTTTTGGAGATAACTGTAGTTGAAATTGATTTTTTAAATCTATCATCATTACGGTAATGGGTTTTATTGCTTATAATCTAACTTTGATGCTATTATCGTCCGCATCTAGTAGGCACAGTGCCCGCACGTTACCGAAATGAGCAAAGTGCTCTCATTTTGTTTTTGTTGTGAGTTATAAAATATTGCGCAAGCCCGCAATGCGTTTGTTTTGGAACGGAAACGAGCATTCCATTTTATAAGCATAAGAGTTGCGCTTTTAAATATAGGAGGAACTTATGAAGGAAAGACAGGAGAAGACAATTAACGAGGCCGATGACAGCGTTATTGTAGGACAATGCTGCGATATTTCAAGCGGACCGTCGGGGTTTCGGTGAGATTTTGACAGACATTCGTCGCGACTGAGCTCTTAATGAAGCGGTAAATAATGAGCAAAGGTGTTGCGCCGCGCGAGAGCCGTGTCTAATTAACGCGAGACAGCCACGACCAGCTTACATATACTAAACAACACACCCACTCATGATTCGTTCATGTTATAACTAACTAAAAGTAACCATCGGTAAAATTAACGGTAATCGTAATGTAGAATGAGAATGGTGCCTCAGAAAAACATCGGCAGGTAGGTGAAGGCTCGTTAGTCGTCCGAGGTTCGCCGCTGTCGTTTAGTTTTTATCTTTGCAATCGCGCGTGCAGCGGTCACTTCTAGTCTCGGAGCGACCTCTAACTCGGAAACGAGATGAAATAAAAAGAAAGAAACGCAGGCACGGGCCGTGAGAACGCGTCTCCTTCGCCGCGGTCGCCTCGGACCTTCCATTTATCTTGCACAGTCGTGCGAGAATGGGTTGGACAGTGTGGTGCTTTTATTGCATCGCGCCCCTAAATATAGGCCTGCAGAGGCTAACCGTAATGCTTTTAGTCCTAAAATGATTGATCCGTTCAACTTTTTATTAATATGAGAGAAATATATAAAGATATATTGTTTCTAGTTTAAATAAGCCAATGCGTAGTACGACTAATTATTTAAAAAAGTATTTATGAGGTACAACTACGAGTATATTATTTTATGGCGTACGAGCAGACTGGTCAATTAGATTAATAATAATAATTTAAATATAAAGTTCATCATAGTTTTTAAGTAAGGCCCCAATTTGATTTTCTCGTGTTGATTTTATTAAGAACTTCTGCTAGCGTAAATTACTATTTGACAAGACTAGTTTTGTCAAAAAGAAACAGTTAAGAAATACAGTCTAACTGATAGTAATGTACGATGGCTTTATTTATAAAAAAGATAGTGATCAATGCAACGAATATTAAGAAATGTCTGGTCACATATTTGAGTAGATACCGTACCTAACATTTCTTTATTTTTTTATTTAACTTAAGGCACAAGTTGTACACAGGCGGACTTAATAACCAAGGCATTCTCTGCTAGTCGATCTTCGGGTGATGTAGAAAAATGATGCTGTAGGTACAAGAGAAAACAGAGAATTTGACTTTTTTTATATTAAATTTATTAATTTAAGATAAATCTAACTTACATATAAACACTATATACTATAAATAAAATACTATATTAATTACTACACATATAATACATAGAGGTCTCAAGTATACACATACAATACATGAACATACACATTTATAAATACATAAATATCAAAATACAAAGTCGGGTACTAGCGTTGTGACCTTTCTGCCATCTTATTTTGAAGAAGATCTTGTACTTTCTTCTTGAACGTAAACCGGTTAGTGGACATCCAGATTTCAACTAACATATAGCGCTAACAATTTAAAAATGGTAATGTTCATAGATATATAAAATGTATATTGTATAAATTAATCAAGACTCGAGAATACCTTTAAAAGCTTCCAAAATAAATCATCATCATCTTCCTACCCTTTTCCCAAATTTATTTGGTCGGTGCAATGAGTGTTTTTGTTTTATTCTTCGTGATCACTCGACATCCTGTTTCACGTATTCCTTCATTTAATTGCGAAATTATTTTAGTTTTTTCTTTCATGGCCGGCCGCCTGCTTGACGGCGATCCTCCTTGGGCCCTTGGGAATATAATCGTTCTTCGTACATAGTGTAAAGCGAAAGATATTTAGAAATTTCAAACATCCAGTGTTTTTCCTATTGTCAAACCAAACAGCTTCACTGCCTTTTTTCTGCAAGACAGCCATTATCACATTGATATTGCATCTCCCTTACATGTGGGTTAAACCATGTGCAAATTTCATTCATACATTCTTTCTATTAACAAACCTATTAGTTTTATTAAGTTATTGCGATATTATATTTTTTAAATGTTTCTTTCGGTCCGACTACCAATTGGGCCCGAGTATAGGTTATCCTTCCGGGCCCTCTTTGCCGCCTTTTTCTGCGAGATGACGTCTTCGCAGAAGGATGCGACCGCGGTGAAACATCTGTCCCTATTAGCCATGGAGCGTATGATGGCCGGTAGCGAGAGATCCCTTCCGATGACTGCAATGAGGACCGGGCGCTGCGGGGCCCAAGGCGAGCAAATCGTCAGCGTGTGCTGAGCCGAGTCCTCACTGCAAACGCAGTGATGACAGGCGGTACTCAATTCCCTCCTAGTGCCGAGTGCAGGTA